ACCGATGTGGCAACTATTACGACTGACAAACTGATCAGTGGTGGTGACTACACCGTGTCTCTGACCAGCGTCAAGGATAAGTCTGGCTGCAAACGGGCTCTCAAGGACAGCCTCAATATCGAAGCCCGATCACAGCCCCCACATGTCTCTTTCGGTCAAATTGACAAGAAGAGAAGTGTCTTGGCTTTGCAGGGCTCCAAGATTGAGATTCCGTTGAGGCTGAGTGGCGAACGCCCTTGGACTGTCAAATATAGGAATGTTGATGTGGACTCGGCGCCCATCCAGAAAAACTTCTGGGATGAAAACAGCATCTTGACAGTTGACAAGCAGGGTCTTTATGAGATCAGCGAAGTATTTGACGTCGGTTGTCCTGGAACCGTGGACCAGTCTGCAAATGAGTTTGAGGTCTCGTGGATCCCACGGCCCCAAATCACAGCCCTTGACGGCTCTCCCATCGGAGCCGCCAAGGAGTTTGCAAAGTCCGAGGTCTGCCAAGGCGACGATGATAGCCTTGAGGTTCGACTGTCCGGCAACCCTCCATACAGTGTTCAATACGAGAAGCGACGCAAGGCGGACCGTGGAGGATTCTCTGCGGCGAAGCCACGGGCTTTGAAGTCCGCCCTTCATGTGACTTCGATGGAAATGGATACCTCCGAGGCTGGAGAATACAGCTATAAGTTCACACAAGTTGGTGACAGCCTCTATGATCACGATCCCAAGAGCAAAGCTCTAGTTGTGACACAAAAGGTCAACCCGCTACCGTCCGCTAAGTTCGACCAACCTGGCCACGTCTTTGGCTTCTGCAAGGAAGACATCAACGGCGAGGAATCCATCCCCATTACCTTGGAGGGTGTCCCACCGTTCTCCCTAGAGATCACCATCAAACACCACTCCAACGCCAAACCGGAGATTGTCACGATTCCCAAGATCAATTCCAATCGCCACAAACTGCTGATCCCTCGTCGTCATCTTGACTTGGGACAACACCAAGTCAGCATCCACAAGGTTCGCGACTCTAGAGGATGTCAAAAGACCACCGACCTCGATGCTTCCTCGGTACGGGTCGCCATCTCCGATGTTCCTACCATTATCCCGCTCGAGTCCAAAGTGGACTACTGTGTGGGCGAACGGCTTTCTTTCTCGCTGTCCGGCCATGCTCCATTCGATGTGTTCTACACGTTCGACGGGGCCAAGCGCAAGGCCACTAGTCAAACCGCTAACTTCCGTCGTATTGCGGAGCTTCCCGGTCAGTTCACCATCAACGCCGTCAGTGACGGAGCCAGTGGCAAATGCAAGGCCCACAAAGACATCACCAAGGTCATCCACGCTATGCCCAGCGTGCGGATCAGTAAGGGCAAAGAATCAGTGGTGGACATTCACGAGGGCGGCGAAGCCGAACTTCACTTTGAGTTCTGGGGTACACCCCCATTCGAATTCACGTAAGTCAATAACCTCTACGCTCTACCAACCCAGTCTGCTAACCTTTCACAGATACATCCGAAGCTCCAATGTCCGCAAGGGAAAGAAGTCGGAGATCCTTGATATCAAGCACGACATCTCCTATGAAAACATGAAGACGATCAAGACCTCTGATGAGGGAACTTACGAGGTTATCGCGATCAAGGACAAGTTCTGCTCATTCTCTTCCCAGACTCCATCGGGCAAGTCAGACAGATGAAGATAAATCAAATGATGTGATGAATGTGGTGTAATACTTGGTGTTTTTATGAATCTTGTTATTTACCTTGCCTTATGGCTTTCTACTTTTTTTTTTTTTTTTTCCTTCTCCAATTTGTTGCATTGCAGCGGCGCTAGCACTCCAATTTCAGATATCTACATGCTTTCTGTCAAACTAATTCAAATTTGTCTACCAGGACGGTCACATCTGACTTTCAAATCTAAGCTCTGTTGGAACTCGACCATCTTGTCCACTCAAGCCCAAACTATATTTCAAAGCTCGGATTCTAATTTGGGGAGACAATAAGGAATATATTGGACTGGGAAGCCTCGATGCACCAAGCTATAGAGGAAGATGTCTAGTGTAAATCCACGATTATGGACCAAACACGATCCCCTTTTTGAATAGCCTTTCCCTTTAATAAGTAGATGCAAAAATCCCGCGTAGGGCCACAGCCAGCAGAGATGATATTACAGATATTGGCTCTGAAGCTAGATGAATGAGGATAGATCTCTAATATGGGTGTTCCCAATCCCAGTTTTTTCGTGCAGACGCTCCATGGGGATTTGTTTGCGTCTTTGTGTTCAACTGAGAATGGTGAGTATACACATCTGACAGATCCCCCTAACTCGGTCATCCACGAGCTCACTCCTCTGTTGGATGCTTCTTCAACCTGGGAATGGGGTGGCCATGCCCATACACTCCCCGTTTAACATATAATCATCACGTTTCTGGCGCATTTACTTGACGTGGCGGGGGCTGATCGATTCTTGAAGATGGATTCCAGGTAGAAGGGGAAATATATAAAAAGCTTTTAATATAGCGTGAGATAGAGGGAGGAAGATTGAATTTGGGGATCAAGTGGTTGGAATTTATAGAACCCAAGGCAAAGAACAAACATTGTTCGCTATTTGAAGGCAAATTCGACCGAAAAATTTACAATATCTACAACTCAACCTGTACAGCCACCATACTCTCCGACATGAACCCAGTAACAAAGAGCCAAGCAAGCTTCTTACCACCAGCCTTAGGCTCAATCGGCACCAAAACAGCCGCACTCGCAGTCCGAAGCCTGGACCCATCATCTTCAAACAGCACCTTCTTCTCCCAGACCCCAGTGCGCGAATCAAGAGTCGCATACCACACCTGAATAGGATCTAAAGCATTCGGATCCTTAGAATTAGCCATCAAGTGAATAGCCTGCGAGACACCGGCGGTAAGGAATCCACTCGCATCATGTGAGTCGGTGCTATACGGATCGTGGTAGTAAGACGGGTTATCTGCGAGAGAGCTAAAAGCGACCGAGGTATCGATGGAGATAGAGTGGTTGGACTCGTGTCGAGTTGCGAGGAACATTTCGCCACCCATGGCGCTGCAAATGATGACTTCATTATCGGTGCGGCCGTGTCCGAGACCATTGTTGTTCCATAGACCTGTTAGTGCGACGGAGGCTTCGATGGGAGCGTCTTTGCTTGCTAGGTCGGCGATCTGCACGTGGATGATGTTGGACCACTTGGCTGAGCGCCAGATGTCTTCGATAAGTCGCATGGGACCCTCACGGTAGAAGTGGTCGTTCGTGACATAGAAGGAGACAGGGCTGATGGCATAGATATCGTTGGGGGTTTGGATGAGCGGGTGGTTGATTGAGCGCACATGTCTGATGGAATTGGAGTTTAGGATGTGGTGGAAGAGCTCGATCTGAGACCGGGCTTTGGGGATGTCCTTAGGCTCGCCGGCTTCAAAGTATGCCGGGTTGGACAAGTGGTTGACGGCATAGATATAGACTGCGTCTGACTGCTCGGGATCCTCAATGACATCAATTCCATGTGTCACCAAGGGACCTTGGAAGTTCTCGAATGCCAGACGGGTTGATTTCATGGTCTATTTTTGGGGTCAATTTTTGAGATTTGTTTTCGATATTAAACATGTTTAGAACAAACCCACCTTGGGATCCACAACATGGATAGAGCCTTGGGCCGTGGGTGGCAGCATGTGGCCCAGCGGTGGGAACCAGCTCAACCGGGTGCTCTTGTTGTCCTCACAGGCAGTGAACAGCAGGTTTGCTGGGCGGTAGTGGTGCACATCCTCGCAGTGAATAGTATCCTCGATGTAGATTGGGCCTTGGCCTTCGCCCAGTGCTGTCGGATTGGGAGTGAGGAAATATCCTGTAATATGCACGAAATGGCTTATTGGGCCAGCCAGAAAGGCAACCAGAGCCACAAGGCCGAGGCTGAATGCGGTACCGAATGCCATGCTATTGCGTATTCAAGTGCGAATGAATATTCTGGAGCAAAGTATGAATTGAAAAAAAAATGAAAGGTCCATATTTATGTGCAACTCCATTCTAGCCCCTCATTAAATTGGACCTCGGGAAATATCCTCGGGATGCTTGAAAAGTAATGGTTATCTAATGGTTCATTGGACTCCTAGTACTCCTCTAATTGTGGAGCGAAGCGAAGCAACTTAAATCAGCGCCCTCCTCCCGGAGTCCCCCCCGGGAGGAGTTCCCCGGAATCCAAAATCCATAACAAACCTACGTCACCTGAAATTGTGTAGTGGCCACGTGACCCTATGTCTCTCCCGAGGTCTTTTAGGCCCTAAATCTATAAGGTGCTAAACTAGATACTGATCTATATCCTAGCGTATAACTATAGATAAGTACTAAGCTACTATTTGCTGTTTAATTCCGTGGACTAAGGCATCAATTATATAAAATTAGAATCAGTCGTTCCACTCCGCAACGACTGACTATCTAGAGATCTGGAGGCTGCCCCCCAAGATCCCTCGTCTAGGTACCCCGTACAGTTCACAGTCCACGGGTATAACCTTTTGCTTTTGACCTTTGAGTTGTTTGCTACTAAGCCTATTTAGGAAATTGCTCTTGCCAGTACCACGGATCAATCCAGTACACATATATTGAACAAAGAAAGTGTTTGCTACTAGGCCTGTCTAGGAAATTATTCTTGCCAGTACCATGGATCAATCCATTACATATGTATTGATTGAACAAAGGTGCCCAGGTGTTTGCTACTAATCCTATTTAGGAAATGGATATCAGCTGCAGGGCTTCCAAGGCTTCCAAGGTTATATTGTTCACCCCAGGCTTTCTCTTGAATCTTTAAATCTCAAGCCTTTCGAACTTGACTTGATCCATAACACTTGATCTCTTCCTTTTGTCGAACTTGGCTCAACTTTTCTCATACAATACTCAATCCCTTACCATCCTCCACTGTTTTATCAATATGCCGACTCACAAGGTTGTTAAAAGAAAATTGACCAAGCGCAAGCTTGTGAATGAAATCCTATTGGCGACGTGCAGTCTATGCTCAACCTGAGTTTTTCACTTAACAACACTGAGCTCCGTAACCAGCCTGTGGTTGATCCGTTTGCCATTTGTGGTACGTATACCCAAATGAATATTGAAGGTCATATAACTGACTTGAATAAGCTGAACGGATGGAATTTACCTAAGATGCATTTGGAAACGGTGAAGGAAACGAAGCATTGACACGAGTCGCGCTCAACAACCTTCTCGTATGTGCACATCGTCACGTCACCTCGCGTTTTGACAACCTCAACAATGCAATCCATATCAATGCAGAAGGCCACTGGAGGTACGGACCAGTAGTCCACAAGGGTGCAAAATATGATTTGATTGGGCGCCCCAATTATAGTGTGTGGTACGGAACACAAGAGGATCTTGCGGTTAGCGTTGTGGTAGTTGAGGCAAAGTCGGGGACAACAGCTACATCTGGAGTGGCCCAAACACTAGGTTATATGGGTAAGTACTTCAACTATTATTGCTTTAAATTCTGGAATATATAATCTAACTTGATCAAAGGGTGTGTACATCGGAGACGTAAAGACCTTGCGAAGCTGAATTTGACGGTGTACGGTGTTGTTACTGATGGCCAATACTTTGTTTTCCTGAAAATCAATGATGATTCACAGGTAAGTACGGTCTATTATTGAATCATGCACATTCTAATATTTAAATAGTGGAGTGAGCACATAATTTCCACCCGCCTTGACAACTACAAGGAGGCCCTTGGTTTGCTAGTACACTTCTTCCATTCCGCCGCAGTTATGTCGCCTTTACAATCAGAGAAGGCATCAATTCAAACCCACTCAAAGGAGTCTTCTAGTGTGTCATATATGGAATTTGATGAAGAGGGGGAGGAGGTTTGATTGTTCTTACAGTTTTCGTTTTACTTTGTTATATTCTTATTTGCTGCTTTCACTACGAAGTACGTCCCGAGAATGTCGATTCATGCAGCAGTATAGTTACCATGCGACAAAATTCCCTTTTCGGGTATTGTTTGTGTCTACGAAGATGCTTGAATAAGTTACCCTGGTTCTGTCAGCTGATCGTATCTAGCAGGCAAAAGATAATGGTATTTATATTTACACTACTCCGTATACAAATTGATATATCACCACTTTGAGGTGGTTTACAACTTGTAAATATGAAACAAATTTTATCCTTATACTTAAGAGTAGAGAGCTACTAAAAGTCCCTAGAAGTGGTGATATATGGGATATTAGAATAGTTGGTAGGATTCTCCAGAGGTCAGCAAATTTTGTCTGTTTTTGTTGAATGGAAGTTAACATATTCTAGATTGTATAGAATATTGTGGGGAGCATAAAAAAAAGACCTGGGAAACCCTGGGGATACATATTTATGCTTACCTCGGGATACCTAAATGAGATTAGCGCATATAAGAACCAGAGTCATCTGAAGAGAAGAGTTCAAATCATTACAATAAACCTCAAAAAAAGAGCAAAGTACATTAAACTATCCTAGGCAAAAATGATGCAACTCTCTTTTTTTTCTTTGTCTGTTTTCGTAGGCCAAAAAAAAATGAAATAAAATAATAAAAACCATTCTCATTAAGTCTAGTCATGCTCGGAGTGACTAGACCTCTGCGGCAAAGTCCGAAAGAAAGGAGAAGAAAATAAATAAAAAAGAGTGCACTGGTGCAAATTCCCAATTCCATATCGTGTCATGATGAATCCCCGCAAACATTTTTCAGTTTGCGGACTGCTTGGCCTCGAGATATTCCTGATCACTGGCGTCAAGAACGTCATATTCTTCGTCAGTCAGGAAGCCAGTGTCGGCATCGGTGGAGGCATCGTCCAGAGTCAGGCTCTCAACATCCTCTAGAACATCCACCTCCGAAGAATTCGACAAGGTCGGTGCCTGTGGTGCAGGAGCCTCGGCTTGGTGAGTGCTTGACTCAGGAGATTCCTTCTCCAACTTGGGGAAGATCATACCACTGCCGGTAACTTCAGATACGGCAGGGTATGTCTCGCTGGTGCCGGCTTCTTCCAGAGAAGCAGTCTGTACCTCGACGTCACACCACAGACGATGACCGATGGCCACACCGTTAGGCAGTTTCAGACGCCAGTAGGAGATAGCAGGGCCTTCGTGCTGAGAGGTGCGGAGGTTGACAGTAAAGTCAGCACTCTCGCCTGGCTCCACAGGGGCAAGCAATTTGTTGCTTTCCATAGCTGAGCGAATAGACTCGACGCTAGATGGGTGGAAGACATCGACGTTGAACATCTTGTCTCCACCGACGAAGCGCACATCACAGCCAACGGGCCACGCTGCAGGGCCAGGGTTGTAGAGAGTCCAGGTCTGGCGGAACATGGTGTTTGGAGCCATCTTTGTACCGTCGGTGATAGTGTCACGAATAAAGAATGCCTTGTAGTCGGACATAATAGAGCCATCGGTCTCGGAAATGGGCTTGCTAATGAATGGCTGAGGCTCAACCTTCTCCACAGACTTGCTGCTAGCATCCACCTCAACGGGTTCCTGCTTCTCAACTGCGGCCTGGTCAACGGGCCGAGTGGGCCGAGTGGGGGCATCAATCTGGTCACCCAGGGCAACTGCTCCATTCAAGCTGTCGTCGCCGATGGTGCTCACAGTCACATTGCGGACGGGAGTGTTGAACTTGACCAGCGGATGAGTGCGGTTGTGGTGGTCAGTCGGAAGAGCCTCGCAGCTCGCACAGAAGTCGGTGTCATCACAGACAGCGCACTTGTAGCGAACTCCGCTGATGTAATTCTGCGCAGGTTTGCTCTTGCACAGAGGACCGTCACAGAAGATTCCATAGTGGATTTCATGTTCTCGAGCAGGTTCACCAATAGAATCGTAAACCTGCACGAACCGATGACTCGGGTGGCTTTGAGGAGCAGTCAAAATGCATTCGGGGCAGAAGTCCCAATCGGGGCAGGCTAAGCACTTGTGACGAACACCAACGATACGCTAACAAAAAAAAAATATTAGTCGAGAGCCTCCCTAGTGGGTGCAATGAGTATATACCTTGTCACACCCGTCACAGACAGCGGCGTGTCGGAACTGCCGACCGGGAAGACAGCGAGAGGTGATCAGATTCTTCAAGCAGAAGTTTCGGTCAGATCCCAGGTGGAAGGTGTGGCCAGGGTGGTGTCCATGCTTATTTCGGAGGAGGCAGCGAAGGCATAGATCATAGTCCTCGCACTCATTGCAGCGGACGAGGTTGCTTTCGTCGGCTTCTGTTTATTGTGAGCAAAGAGAAGAGAGAGGAAAGTGATAAAAAAAAAAAAAAACTTACCACGGCAGCATCCATTGCACATTGGCTTGTCATCACCCTGAATGGCAGCATCCAAACAAGCCGACGGGGCTGCTGGCTCTGGAATCGACTCCTGGATTGACTCTGGAATTGATTCCTGAATCGACTCAGGGACTGGCTCAGGGACCGACTCCGGGACGTGGCACACCGGCTTGGTGATCACCTCACGCTGAATCTGAGTAGGCACCGTGGGGTTGAACTCCATTGCTGATTGATCCCGAGGAGCAATAGTCTCCGTGGTACTGTTCGTGACAACACCATCCTTGACCGTCCTCTTGATCAACCAGTGACCTTCGCCGCGGCAAGATGTCCCGGCACCGACACATTGTAGGCACAAGTCATAGTCCCCGTTCTCGCAAATGCTGCAGTGATAATGCGCATTTGCAATAGAACGACCACAGTGATTGCAGTCAATGCAGAACATCCCGTTGGACGAGCTGTGGGAGATGACCGGGAACTGATGCTTCTCTTGGTCCATCTCGAATGTGCGGTAGCGAGGTTGGCCGAGAGGCAACTCTTTCTCATCGGTAGAATGAGGAACCTGGGCTGACTCAATGAGAGGGAGGGTATCGGGAGGTGCTAGAGGACTCAGGACCGTTTCGAGATAACTCTGACGAGTGTGGTTGGTTGATTCCATCGGCACAGTGGGTTCTGATGGTACTGGTGATGTTGCAGATGTGTTTTGGGAAGGAAGAGTAGTAACCTTGATACGAAGCTTGGACTTGGCCTTGGCAGCTCGGTAGAGTTGTTTGTAGACTGCGATGTTCTCACAATCTAAGCGAACGTAAGAACCAGCACTGTCGGAATAGCGTTCAAGGATGACGTTGACATCCGCCGGAACCCCGAGCAGTTTGCTAAGCTAAACCAAAAGCGTCAAGTCAGCTTGCGAAAAAAAACAAAAACAAAACAGAAGTGTGTCCTTTTGTTTACGGTTGGAAGAAAATATTTGGAAGACACAAAACATGATCTGATGATCGCTGAAGATAAGGAATGGAGTCGGACTACAGATCCGGAGCTTGAGCTTGAGTGGAGACTTACCATCTGGGGAAACACCTGGGCCTTCAGCTCCCTAAGAGGCATCTTAAAGCGACGGTTACTGTCATTGTAAAGTACTTTGACGGTAACCAGATTCTCTGGACCCGAATGAGACGTAGGAGATGGGGTGGTCATCGTAGACGATGTGAAGGTCCCAGGGTGGATACACCTTTGAGATAAGGCAACTGTACTAGGGTGATGGGTGGGAAAGGAGAAAAACAGCACTTTACGAGCCAGAAAGAAATGCTGGAAGATAAAATGATGATTTTTTTATGATGAAGGAAGAAAAGAAAAGAAGTAGAGGAGAGTCCAAGAAGATAAGAGGGGAGTTGTACAAGAGGCCGTCGAATTGAAGGGAAAAAGCGGAGAGACGGTCAGCTGCTGCTCACTGACAGGGAAGGCGGTGAATGATTTCCCTTCCAGGATGGATTACATAATATCATATGACGTGTTCAACCCGGAGAGAATGCCAAGAAATACAGTCACTATCAGACCCTAGGTGGACCTAGGTACTCCATAGAGTGTCTAGAGTTGTCTACATGGTGGACTTGATGGACTGAAGAAATGAGTTACAGTATTGGCTTTTTTTTAATTCTTCATCACAACTCCCTCGAGAGGGAGGACAAAAAAAGATCATCAAAATAGAAAACAGGAAAAGATGATGTAATGCACTGAATGCAGAACGGGGATTCGATCGCCCGATTGGAGGAGAGTGAGGGGGTTTGGGCTGAGAAGGGCTAGAACCAAGACGTGATATTCCCAAGTCTTCGAAGTAGATGTGGGGAAAGTTGCGGAGGGAAAACGCTCAAATGCATTGAAATCCAAAAGGGCCATGAATCAAAACAAGGACAAAAATTAAGGGAGCAAAGATAGGAGCAAAACTTGGCTAGAGAATGTGTGGATGCTGGAAAAGAAGTAAAAAGAAAAAAAGAAAAAAGCAAAGTGAATCAAAGATCCTTGTAGATCCTGGAGAGAGGTGAAAGAAAACTGAAAGAAAATTGAGAACAAAGAGAGAAGTGGTGGAAATGAAATCGAAGATGTGATAAGATGCCAAAAAGAAAAAGAGAAGAGAAGATAAGAGAAGAAAGTGATTCATCACTGCCCATAATATTGACCGGATTGTTGAGGATAGTAGAAGGTTGTGCCTGGCGGTGTCATCATCCCACCCATGCCAACCACACCCCCAGGCCCAGATCCCGATCCTGGTCCTGGTGCGGGACCTCCGTACATATTGTTGGCATCATAAAAGTAGACGGTGCCCCCAGACTCATGAGCAACAGTACCCGGTGGAGGGGGCTGCTCCCCAGCTAAATAGGGCATTGCTTGCTGGCCCGGGAAATTTGGTACAGAAGCTCCGGGCCCAACGGGTCCGTTGTAGCCCGCATAATCGGGCCCAGAAGGCGGGTAATACATGCCCGAAGGATAACTCGGGGGGTAGAAGCCGGGCTGGTGGTAATTGTAAGGTTGGAAGGGCGGTGCGTGGATTGCCCGCTCCGGAATCTGGGAAAGCGGAGTGGCCGAAGGCTGGCTGGGCGGGCCATGGGCTGGAAGAGGGACTTGGTGGTGGAAGGGCTGCTCATGCTGGGGTTGAGGAGGGTTAAAGGCTAACGGGAAAGTCGCTGGACTTTCAATATCCGCAACGGAGACCGTCTTTTGAGGACGAGGTTGGTGCATGGGGATCGGGGCGGGGCGGCTTTCGCGATAGGCCGGATGAGGAAGGGACATAGCCATTGCAGGCCCAAATGGTGGGATCCCGACAGGCGGACGAGGTGGAGGGGGAAGGCGGACAACGGGCTTGGGGTCGGTGGGAATTATAGGTCTGGAATAGACAGACCCAGCAGGTGATGGCCACCCATCCTGAGAAGGCGGCATGCCAAATGAAGATCGACGGCTGACAACGCTAGGCGTGTAAGAGGAGTTGGGGTAGTAGCTGGGACGTCGTCCACTGTACCAGCCGCCACCACGACCGCCTCGACCACGAGAGACTTGGTTCGGCCGCAACGCGCGGGGGATGAAGATAAAGGAACGTTCGACCGAGGGGAATATGTATCGGGGCGGCTGGCTGGGAAGAGAAATTCGTACCGGCTTGTCGCGTCGTAAGGGGGTCGGTGTTGAGGTAGCCGGGTGTGGAGTCTCTTGGGCACGGAAGAAAAATGAACTGGATTGGCCATGCCGGGCAAGGAAACAACGACAGGTACATTCCCAACCAATGTTGTACTAGAGAAGGACCGGTTGGGCGGGGAGGATCTAGGGGCGGTGGGGACAGATGCGCCAGTATTAGGCATCGCGGATGGTGTTGGGCGCTTTGCTGTAGGTCGATCCTCGCCAGCCACGGTATCGTGGAGATCGTGTGCCCACTGCCCTCCACTGGCATCGGGCTTGGAAGATCTGAATCATAGTAAGAAACATGATTGGGGGATGGAATGGAACATAACACACCTCCGAGAGCTGCCATCTACGATCAGGCCGTAGGGGCGAGACTTGCTCTTGAGCCGGTGACCGTTGTCGGTGGATCGCTTGTCATGAAGGAAAAAGCTGCCGCGAGTGGGGACAAAGGCCGGGTTCTGCTCTCGGTCCTTGACATACTTGTCATTCTCGCGGCGCTTTCTGGAAGCCAAATTGTTTCGATTTGGCTCGCTTGGAGGGGCGGAAGGCGTTCTTCCAGGGTGAGCGTCTTGTTCCTTGAGATCGTCAAAATGAACCTCCGCAGCGTCGCCCGCACCGTCTGAGATCTTCAGGCCGTTCAACATTGCCTCTGTATCTGAAACAGTTGTCTTGAGTCCGCTTTTTTCAGGTGATGCAGAGCTACTCCGTGTAGATTTGTCCACCCCATGACCGTTGACCTTGTCTGCCTTATCCAACGTAGCAACCTCGTCCTCGCTCTCGTCGCTGACTTCTCCGTCTGCATCTTCGTCCTCTTGGTGACTGTCCACCGAGCCTTCACTCAAGGAGTCGTCTCCAATGTCACCAGCCATTGAACCCTCTTCTTCACCATCTTCCTCCCGCCTCTTTCTGCGGCTGGCCCCGATATGACGTCGAAGAGGAGCCATGTTGAAGATGCAAGGGATTAATCACTTGGGGGAGGCGTGGATGTTTTCTGTTGACACACGCTTGTCTTGGCCGTTATCGGGACCGGGTTGGCTTAGAGAACGGAGTATGGTGAAAACAGCGGGCGTTGAAGGACGATAAAGCAGTGGAATAGCAAATGAAATCAAGAAAGATCAAAATACCAAGATAGGCTAGAAGAAACAAAAGGACACCTTGTGCAAGAATTATAACTAAAGTGAAGAGAAAGAAGAGAAAGAGCAAGGGGGGAAGAAGAAAGGAGATGCAGCCCAAGAGAGATGGAGAAGTACTGAGAGACTCGAGTACAGAAGAAGGGCATGACATCGCGGGAGACGTCAGGCCTGATCGGGCCTAGCCCAGGCGGTGAGGTTGTTTCTGCCATGATGGGGCCTAGAATTGCTGTCTTAAAAAGGTTACGTTACTTGATTTGTGGCAAGCTAAATATTGACATCTATAGAAGGCTTGAATATAAAATGTAGAGGTGGTGTGAAAATTGTGGCTTGATTTTTAGTAAATTTGAGGTTGCGCCCTAGAATGCAGGCCGGGATGTTGTGATATCCGGAAGTATACATGCATTTTTCTTTTGGCGCATTCCACTGCAAGCTGTACCACCGAGTAATGGACTCGATGAACATGGATATCTGAGAAATCGTACAAGTATTTTGAAAATTATAACCCAAAGGTCCCGTTTGGGTCACAGGGTAGACCACGGTCGGAGTTTGATCCCAATGCCATCTTCGATTGCAGGTAGATCATTGACAGGTATCAGAATTTCACTGATACATATTGTGTATGAGATGATTGAATGGTCCTGTAGAAAGACCACGGATGATACTACACGAACCGCAGATGAGTAACTTAGTCAAACGTGGTCTTCTGGCCTTGGGCCTCGACAATGGCACCACTGAGCTTCTGGACGGTTTCCTTGGAGTAGCGAGAGTCATCGATGGATTCACGTCTCTTCTTGTGTCGGGGTCTTTCTCGTGATTCGCCATCGACTTCGGTAATAGCGGGCTCATCCTTCTTCTCGGCATCCTTTCCAAAGCGCTTCTTGTATCGTGTAGACGCATCTTCGGCAAATTCCATTCGCATACGGCGGCCCATAAGCTGGTTCACCCAAACCCTTTGCATACGAGGCTTTAGCTTCTTCGACTTCTTCTTCTTCTCGGATGCTGAGTCGGAATCACTGTCGGAGGAATCCTCTTCACCGTCATCCTCCTTGACCAACATGAATCCTCTCACCGCTGCTTCTGCGGCAGCGAGTTCTTCAAACTCCACCCACGCATAACCCTTGCATTTTCCGGTGTCTTGGAAAGTCGCCATATGCACGTTGGTAACAGTTCCGCATTTGCTGAAGTTTTCTTCGAGGTTTTCCTTGGTCACATCGAAGCTCAGGTTGCCGACGAAAATCCGCTTGGAGGGGGGTGGCCAGACTTGGCTGCACCTGCAGCATTCTCTTGGGTTTCGGATTTCTCAGGGCGACCTTCAAAGTTGTTTGCATCCTTGATGAGCACGCGGCGGCCGGTCATGAGCTGCTCGCTTAGGCCAATTGCTTCTTGCAAAGACTTCTTGTCGGTGAAGTCGACATAAGCAAAGCCTCTGTTCTGTGCCCTCCCAAATCTCTCGGGGCCCTTGGGGAGATGGATTCGAGTGATATCAGACTCGGAAATGTCGGAGTTGACGGTGAAGAACATGCGCAGCTCTTCTTTGGTCACAGTGAACGATAGGTTTCCAATCCAGATACCATATTGGGACCGCTTCCCCTCTGTTTCGGCTTCTTTGGATTCGGGTTTGCTGGACTTGCTGGACTTGGGTTTTTCACCATCTCCCGCATCGCCTCCTTTGTTCTTTTTCGCTTTGCGCAGGGCCTTTTTTGAGGCTGGCTCTGGTGCAGAGACATCGATTTCAAGCTCAGGACCGTCCTGCAGCTTGCGCTTCTTTTGGCTGACTTCGGTGAGTTCCGACATGATGCGACAAGTATAAATGGTGTGATGACCACTAGAATAATAGTCAATCTATCAAAAGTCTGAGATTATTTCCGGTCACAAGAAATTCAAAGGAATAATTTAATTTTTTTTACGGCGGCCAGGACCCGCCTCCCACGCAGCCCGATCCGCTTCTTGGCGCGAACGCGCAGGGTGACCACATCCCCTTCATCTCCTCTGAACTTCTCTCCGTCATAACACCATGGCAGAACCAAACGACAACCGTGTTACGGAAAGTTTGCCAAATGCACCAACTGCTGCACCGGCTCCTGCAAAGCAATCAGTCCGGTCATTCAAGTACGAGTCCTCACAATCAGCCCATCGGACAATGCTGACTTCTCTTTTCTCTCTAGGAAGAAATATGCCAAGCTAAAAGTCAGGTTCGAGCTGGGAACTCGAGAAAGTGAGAGTTTGATCCGGGAAGAATTGCGCATAGAGGACCTGTCCAAGCGCATTCAGGAACAAAATGAGTACGTGACTTACAAATCCCCTCCCCCTGTATGAATAATGGCTAATACCTTGGCTCTAGTCAATTGCTAGAGGTTCTCCTCGAGTTCAACGATAGCTTACATGTTTCTCCTGACGTGCGATTCGATCTGAGCATGCCAACCGACCCTCCCTTGCTACCTCCTGCCGAGCAGGAAATTGTACCTTTGATCAACGATGCAACACTCGCAAAACAAGCATGGAAGGAAGCCAAAGCTGGCTTGACTGCCGGTAGCATTGATACAAGTGCTTATCGTATCATTGAAGACAACATCAAACGAAACAAGGCGTTTGCACCAGCCCAGCAGTATAGCACCCTGTCACAGACCCATCACATCACGACAGACGCCGTTGAAAAGAAGCCCGACAATGATCGTGAACGCCAACTTGGATACTTTACGCCCGAGCATGAGACTGAGTACTATCTCGCCTTGGACGCCAAGCTTGGCGATGAAGCGGCTGCTACGCAGCTCGCACGCATTCCAGATCGTCCCACGTTTGCGGAGCGTGAGCGGGATCTTTCCATGCGGAATCCCGCATCGGTATACAACTGGCTGCGTCGCAACCAACCGCAAACTCTCCAAGATCATGAGATTGCTTCGGAAAAGTCTGCATCACGACCTTCCAATCAGCGTTCTTCCAAGCGAGCGCCGGCTCAACGCAAGGATGAGGACATGTATGATGAGGATGGGACAGAGGCCCAGCCTACTCCTAAGAATAAGCGCAAGCGTGAAGAGGACACTGGTTATAGACCCAAGGGCGGTAGCAGCCGGTCGAAAAAGAAGAAGGAAGAGCCTACTTCTAACCCAAGCAAAGTGGCCAAAAAGCCTTGAGCCGTTGCTTTATAAAGGGAATTTATTATTCATTTTTTGTGTATTAATACTGGCGTTGGTTTGATTCACTGGTTTCAAATGATATGAACGGATCATTAGTCTTTTTTTCAAACTTCGAAATATAGTATGAATATGTAGTCTCCATGAGATATCTACATAGGTAAGAAAATACATATGTACATCCTGAGATTAATTATATTTTGTATGGTGTGCCCCTACAGAAGATACCTAGGATACAAACTCCATATGTAATAACTACCCATTTTTATCAACCCTAGAGCTTCAATATTCCTAAAAGTTAAACAAGAGTACTAAGGTATGGTGTTGGTATAAGTAGATCGTTCTAACACTGAGATCCACATACATACAAGTGCTTTACATCAATTGATAACTAATAGTTAACTATATGTAATTAGTTACAAAGTACATATACACCGGATTTTAGGCCGGGCAAGTTGGATTTCCCTTTCCGTTTTAGTGCTCACCCCTTGCCGCCGTTTGCTTACTGAGTAAACCTGAGCCCGCCCCTCAGTATTACTTAATCAATAGACCCGCTCACTAACGTATTCGGTAAGCGAGTGGGCCATATAAGCTAGTGGGCCAAATGAAACTAAGATACGGAACGGGATCAATTATATTAATAAACTTGACTTCCTCGAAGTATACCCTCTCGTAAAAATTGGAGCTTTTAAACGGGAGACTGATAAAAAATAGCTTCGGGGTAGACGGTTTAGTCCCTTTTTAACCGGAGAGAGTGATCTCTAAGCTTAATATTCGGCTTTGAACCCTAACCCCCTCTAAGTCGGGGGGAGTGAATTAAGCCGGAATTTTACGCTAAAAACTTCATTTATAGAGAAAGATCTACGTCGATAAGCTTCGTCAATTAAAGCTTTACTTCGTATAGGATCTCGAAGCTCGCCTAGCCTATCAGATCGTATATTAAATTAGCTTATAAAAAGCTTCCAGCTCTAGCTATAAAGCCTCATTTTATAAGCGTAAGAAATTAAGGAATTACGCGCCGCTAACGAGAAGCAGAAGCAAAAGCGAGGCAAATCCCGGGGTTAGATATAGGTAGAAACAGGCCTTACAGTATAGGAAGCTTCTTAATTGAATACTAAGCCGGTAGAAGCAATTAAAGCACCTCCCTCCCCTCTATAAAGAAGCCCTTCGCCGGCTTTACAACCACGTACGCGGGCCCTGCCAAAGTGCAGTGGTTATGGAGAAATAGCATATAAGATTAATAGATACCTAGCTAGATAGATGATTTTACTGTATTCAATTTAATAGCGTTTTGGTTGACATATTTATATTTAAAATTGGTAGGTTGGGTTGGGTGGCCCACTGGCTTACATCCATGGATGGCCCACTCGCTTACCGAATACGTTATGTATTTTCCAATGTTAACGTTAACAAAGAGCAGTTGTAGGTGAACGCGTCATGGTCAGTACGCATCAAGCAACTTCTTCAATTCTCACGCACTTGGTGATCTCAAGGGCATCCTAAAGAATGGACACATATAATTAAAACAGGAAAATATGGAGAACACAAAGCATGAAAGACAATCATACCGGGTCTCCTTCAGGTTGGTTCAGAACACTATAGCACACCAAGTTGGGATTTCCAACCACATCGAACTTGGGTGCAGAGTCCGCGCCCAAATATTTGGAGATAGTCCGCTCTGAAAACCCCTCCGTGTTGAAGGTTCTTCCTGGTTCCATAGATTGTGCTACTTCCTGCTTTTCTTCTACGTTACTTCGTACATACTTCAAATAAGACGGGTTCCTAGGGAACACCACGTTATCTGCAACGAGGACGGAGCCTGGCGAGATCATGCCTAGCTCTCCACAAAGTTGCACATCGGTAGTGTAGATAGGCTTATAGTGATCGATAAACATGAGCTCCACGTGCTCGACTTCTCCACTCGTGTAGAGCTTTTGCAGCGACTCATCGCTACGGCCAACGATCGTGTGCACAAAATCCCGTAGGCCGGCCAGCTCAATGAGCATATTAACTACAGCAGCAAATTCAGGGTTCGACTCGAGACTGATGTATCGCTGTCCCCCGTGACTGTGCACGGCACCCCCGAAGAGGATGGCGGAATAGCCCACGTAGCCCCCGAGCTCAATCATCTTTCGAGGTCGAAGTTCTTCGATGAGGCTGATAACGATATCGCCTTTGGGATGGCCGACATTGGCGAACCAAGATTGCTAGCCGAATTCTTCAATGAGATTCAGGACTTTGTCGGGATGACCGCGGATCTGATCGATATTGGGTTGTCCAAAAATAAAGTACAGGAGTTTCACTTCGCTGCCCTCTTCGCGCTGGTTTTGATCATTCGTCAATCTATATGTTGATATTGGAAATACAATTCTGGGAGAGTGATACCGTGTATTCTGAGCGTTTAGTCGCCGTCATATTTAAGGTGAAGAGAAAATAAAGATTGAAAGAAGCGTGTAATGTAATGGAATAACTTCGTTCGCAGTGCTAGATGCAAGTTCTGGTTGTTAGAAAGCCTACGCAATGGGAGGGAGTTCCATCAAATATAATTTAAAGCGCAAGGACCTGGAAACCTTACTCCACGGGTCTACGCAGAGGAACAGAGTAAGAGGTCAAGCCCTACGTTTGTGCAGTGCGAAATCGTACGGCAATTGATCCAGAGGAGCGACAGAGGTGGTTGCAGGGATTATTCGGGAATTGGGTCGAATACCTCGGGGCCCAGGGGTCTCGGGGGACTGGTGGGTACGACAACCCCCCCTACAGCAGCTACGGCTTCGAGGAGCTTGCACTGTTGGTCAAGAGAAAGGGCGGGAAAGAGGGAAACAACCGCATCTTACCCTCGGAGGGAGGATACAAGCGAGGTTGGGGAGTTGTAGTCTGCACGACAAACCGGTGCCGCTGGCGGGAATGGGTGGTTGCTACCCTGACTGGTTGGAACGGTGATCTCGAAGTGGTTTCTAACGAGCTGCCGGAGGATTGCAGGTCCAAGATTACCGCTAATCTAGTATTTTCAAGATAACATAAGAACTTGAGAGAGCAGATAGGAACAGAGAGCTTACTCCGGCCAAAACAGATTTTAATGGGCATGTCATGGTTGATGGGATTTCCGGTTGAACTCGTTGAATCTTTTTACTACCTAGGTACTGAGTTAAATGGAATCATACGTTGATTTTCGATTGGGCTCCTCTTTGTGACTTCCGGGTCATACATCATGCTACATGGCTCACTTGATTGTTCGGTAGTTCGGTAGTTCGGTGGTTCGGCTTAATCAGGATATAGCCAGCGCCACATGGGTTGAGCATTGCCTTAGAATTTTTACGCAGATAATTCCTTGGTACCTTTCCACTCAAGGAATTGCAATATTTGTCCAATCGGCCTTTTATCACGTGTTTCGTTGGCTTTGGGGCCGGATTCTTGATCGTCGATACATGCACGGCCGTTTCGGTCATTGAACAGCTGGGCACATCGAATTCCCGACACTGAAACACTTTGCCAAAAGACACCCCGATCAGTCAGCTGAACGGGTAGCACGATCAACTAATTTGTTCGATTATGGAGCGGTCAGCACAGCAACTCGTTGCAAGGCGCTATGACGTGGAGCGATCATGTCTGCGCTGCCATGAGCGCAAGGTTCGTTGTGACCGGGCCATGCCCTGTTCAACCTGCCTTCGAATAAATGTTCCTTGCCAATATCCAGGCCCAGGATGAACTAAACGTCGCTCGAAAAATTCATCTACTGGGAGAACCCGCCTGGGGATGCTGGAACGAACTATCACTGCGATCAACAATAGAGACTCCCCCGATATAACTAGCAGACCATCCTCTCTCTCGTCACAAGCGCGTGGTACAGATATCAATACCTCGGTTTCAGCCGGCGATCATACTGCGCTGACAGAAGGCTTTTTGGTGAAAGATGGCACATCTACTCGATACGTTAACGAGTTGCTCTTCTCACGCGTCCTGGAGAAGGTCAGCGGACCACAACATCAATTACTCACCAGAAACATGGACTTACAATTACTGCAAGCAGGAGAGCGAGCTTCAATCCGCCATTGACACACCAGCAAGCACTAACAACAGTGAGGCGAGCCCAATTATTGGCTTTGATGGCCTCATCTCCAACCCCCAGTTGGCTGCCGACGCAATTTCTCTCTTCCCATCTCGAGGGCAAGCAACACACCTCTGGCAAGTCTTCTTGAACAACGCGGACGTTCTTCTCAAAGTACTTCACATCCCGACAACGCAACCTGCTGTATTTGCTGCCATCAATAACCCGAAAGCTGCTTCGAAAGACCTCAATGCTCTTCTGTTCTCCATTTACTTTGCTGCAGTTACAAGCCTGTGCTAGGCAGAGTCTCATATGATCTTTGGCGAGGACCGGCAGTCTGTTCTCAAAAGATTTCAACGAGGCTTGGAGGTCTCCTTACATTCAGCTGCATTCCTAGATTCCCCCACCATTGTCTCGCTGCAAGCAATATCGATATATTTGGTAAATCTAGCCGCCCCCTTGAGATCACTTGGCTCGCATTTGGTATGAGTGCTAACTACTCGGTGTCAGCTTTGTTGATAACGAAGCAGCCTCTTTTTCTGGTTTAAATTTCTTTTGAATCTGGTGATTTCCAACTGAGGCCTTAGTCTGGGTAATATTTAGGGACAAATGGTTTTGGTAAATGCTCTAGGTAGATGTGGAAGTCCAAGAAATATACTCCCATGCGGCAGTTCGTTCAACAGCCAAACGACCGAACGACCGAACGGCCACTTCAGACTTCCAAGATTAACTAAGACCTCTAGCTCAGGCCCCGAGAAGCACCAGGATCTAATAGAATACTCATCACCTGAATCTGTTGGACCTATTCCTCGCCAAATTAAACAAAGATCTGTAAAATAGTGTTGGAGTTCGGGTATGTGATCACTCCGGAGGAGCTTAACCTTTCCTCTATTCCCTTCTTCCTATCTATACCACACACCACTGAGACCCTTGCATATTATTTTTTCGTTCTTTCAAGTAGTCAATAAAACAAAGTGTCAAGAGATAGTATCCCCTAATGTGAGGGATATCTAGGATGTATCTTTTTGTCTCGGGCTTAGAACAGTTGTCATTCGCCGTACTCTGTTTTATTCATTTGTTTCACCTTTGTTATTCACATAACTTGTCACTTGTCCAATCATTTGCGATACAGTGTTGATTAAATATCTGCATGAAGAGATGAATAATTGAATGATTTCACGTTCAACCAGGAGTATAATTGACACTTGGTGCAGGCAGCGGTACGAATGCATGATTCACAAAGGCCTCAAGAATTTGACCTGCAATAGTGCTTGGTACATTGACAAACTAAAGTACGACTTTCTCCACCTTTCCACTCTTAAGGTCAAAGATGAAGCCCTGAATACCTTCCTTTAGCGCCTCCCTCAGCAGGGGGTTTCCGTGAACCCACTCAAGGTCTCCTTTCAGATTATCTCCAATCCTGGAGTGTTCCCAATCTATGTCAGCCCATATTTACTTTTTACTCGAAATGGCTTAACCAAAAGGGCCAAAGGGATCAGCTTACCCCGGAGCGTGGCCAACAGTGTCCACCAGTATTGTCCGCGACTTCTCTTCTGCTCCAAGGGAATCCCGCCCTGTCATCAGCGGCCAAGACTCTCTTTCTGCTACCCGATGGTTCCGGTTCATGCTCATCCTATGCAGCTATTCCGCGGATCCATCCCTCGGTAGCCGTCGTCGGAGTAAACTGCCCCTTTATGAAAGCCCCTGAGCTCTACAATTGCGACATTGAGGTGGTCTCTGAGCTGTACGTCCGCGAGATTCGCAAACGTCAGCCACATGGCCCTTATGCCCTAGGTGGATGGTCCGTCGGTGGTATCTTCGCATATCATGTCGCCCAGCAACTTCCGTCGGCGAGACTGTTCCGATTTGATTCTTATTGACTGCCCCGTCCCTAGAGGTCTTGATCACCTACCACGTCGATACTTCGAATATTGCGACCAGATTGGGTTGCTCGGCAATGTCAACGGGGTGAAGAAGGAAGTGCCCAAATGGCTCATTCCACACATTGAAGCCTGTATCAACAGCCTTCATAACTACCATGCCACCCCATTCGTACCTAGTATTGATGGTCCGAAAACGCAAATCATCTGGGCCTGTGACGCCATCGACAAAACATCTTGAGCCAAAGTTTGAAGCAAGAACCGATGATCCGGAAGGTTTGAAATTTCTTACGGTGGAAGAGAGGATTTCGGCCCGGTAGTTTGGACTCTCTCTGGCCTATGACGAATATAGCATTGTCCCGGATTTATGGGGCTAATCATTTCTCTATGATGCAAAGCGAACACAAATTTTGTACCTCTATATAAAAGACGGTATATGAAGGTACCGGAATGCCGCCTAATACTTTGGAGGTCCTACTACATATGTACAGTAGAACATTGAACTCCAACATTCTGTTACTTTAAGTATACCTTATCGATTATTTATACCAAATTACTTAAATTCCTTTGCAATAACGTTGTATATAGATATCTAATCCCCAATATGTAGCTAACTACCTAGGTAGAGAAAAATACATGGATATTATTAATTTTATACCACATGTACTTTTTGTATGGGGACACCATATAAAAGGTACTTACAACCTAAGTTTGGAATTTATGTTGGGGTTATGTCATCATACTCATTCCCAGACGCTTAGTATAACCGCGAACTTCCTTGAATAGCTCCTGCAGCTCAACTGATCAATCTGAAAGCAACAGTGAATGCAACTCGGGGGATACTCCTTTCAAAGCAAAAATCTGAATGGAAGACAAAAAGTGTAACCTGGAAGTGACTTATCCTCTTCACACATATTCTCGGGGCTGCCTTCCTCAATGGATGTGGTGGGGTGGAAGCAATCATATGTGTACAACCGGACCTTGATTCATCATCTCAAACCAAACGGTTGAGGATGGATTTGATCTACGACCAATAACATATGCCAACAAAACGGAGATTATAACATGTTATATCACGGATGGAGGCCGGTATGGAGTACTCCGTACTGTTTTGAACAACAGGAAGGTAGCAACCCCGCCAAGAGTGTGCATCGCAAAAATGATACTTCATTCTAGAAATTCCAATGTGGCCGAAAGGGGAGTCGTCACTAATAGGTTCGCTTTCAACTTGGAACCGAAGTGTTCGAATTTGGTAGGTGACGCCGTCGACAATATCAAATCTTCGGGGCCCATTTCCGCATTCTTCAGTTCTGAAAAATGGAAGTCCTTTAGAGGAAGCGTTGATAAAATATAGCTGACAAATGCAACCCTTCATGGAATCCACTCATCAAGATAAAAAGGGGCCATCACTGCCATAGGGTTCTTTCTTTTTTTAAACGTAGGCTTCTGAACCTATTTGCAAGGCACAATGGTAAAGATCGAGGCATTCACGGTCGAACAGGTACTTTCAATGCCCCCAGCTTCATGACGTTTGTTATATATTAACAAGCCAATAGTGGATGGGGAAGTACGAGACCACGGCTACATACAACATCGCGGAAACCTGCTGCGCGCCCATCTCAATCAATAATCTCAGGGAACTTTCTGACGATAAGGACACCGACCTATGGGATCAGCTCCAGTCGTCCACAATCGGCTACGGGACGGTTCCTGGCTCCGATCGATTACGAGGAAATCTGGCTACCTTGTACTCAGCTGAAGCACCAAATCCCCTACCGAAAGAAAATGTGTTGATCACGGGAGGCGCGATTCTGGCGAACTTCCTACTACTATATACACTGATTGGGCCGGGAGATCATGTCATTTGCCATTACCCAACCTATCAGCAGCTGTACTCTGTTCCTGTATCTCTGGGGGCCGAGGTCAGTCTTTGGCACTCCAAAGAGGACGATGGCTGGCAGCTGGATATCGAGGATCTAAAAAGGCTCATTCGCCCAAACACCAAAATGATCATCATTAAGTGAGTCTACCTCAGAACCTAGATGGCAAGAAGTTTCTCATCATGTGGTCCCTTTCTTAGCAATCCTCAGAATCCTACAGGAGCCATTGTTCCGCGTGAGACTCTCCAGAGCTTGGTCGATATTGCTCGCAAGTCTGCTATCACCCTCTTGTCCGACGAAGTCTACCGTCCCCTTTTCCAGGATACGAGCGCCGCTCCCCCGTCCCTTCTTTCCTTTGGTTACGAACAAACCATAGTAACGGGATCTGTCTCTAAAGCGTTCAGTCTAGCGGGGCTGCGCATAGGTTGGATCGCATCACTGGATAAATCGATCATCGACGCTTGCGCTGCGTCTCGGGATTACACCACAATTACCGTCGGCCTGATCGACGATAAAATTGCTAGCTTTGCTCTAGCTCCGGAGTGCGTGCACAATCTGCTCAAGCGGAACCTTGGGCTTGCCCGGACAAACCTTGAGATACTAGAGAAATTCATACATTCGCACCGATGGGCTTGTGACTGGGTTAAACCTCGTGCGGGCACCACGGCGTTCGTTCGCTTCAAGAAGAAGGGTGAGCCGGTAGACGACTCCGTCCTCTGTGAAAAGCTTCTTGAAAGGACAGGGGTCATGGTTGTCCCTGGGAGCTTTTGCTTCGGTCGTGACCAGGATTTCCGGGGCTATGTTCGCATGGGGTACGTTTGTCAGACGAAAACACTCGAGATCGGACTGGAGCGTTTAAGCCAATTCTTGAATGACGGTTATGAAGAGGTGCCAGTGTCAAAGAAGGTACCCGTGGAATATTAATATGCACATATGAGCAAATTACATTTTGAGAGAAGTCATCAACCTACATACTAGTACATAGTTCTTCGTATTCGACGCACCCGCTATAATAGGTAGGTGGATAGATTTGATTTACCCTGACGATTCGCCCGAGTTCAAATTCTGAATTGAATTGCTGTACAAGTTTTATGTTCTCATTCTATCTATTGAAAAAGAAAAAAAAGATAAAGCTATTTGTAGTCCCAGCTGCCATTCTACTGCATGGCGTAGTGGTCTATTAACATGCCACTTCTAAACAATAAAAGAAATAAAACAAACACGCAAAACCCAAGAAGTGGCAGAGGAACCCAAGTATATCCCATGTATGTAAACACCTCCAATACCAATGTGCTTTCTCTTGGAAATGTGGTAAATCTCCTCAAAAGTTCATGGCTATAGTGGAGCTATCACGTGATCTTGATTTTCTTCTCTTGAGCAACCCATCGGGATGCCTCCGCTCCCATTTTGAAACCAGCCACACTCACAGACAACATCCTTTGCAATGGCGATTACTATTGTTCCCCCGGTGGTAGAGGACGCGCGTCCCTATGAAGTTGACTCGGAGGACGACATCTCCATGGACTCCGAGGAGGACGTTGAAATGACTGGCATCTCTCGGCCTCACAAGCGACCCCGTTTACAAGGAAACTCGAACATTGGCGCAGGAATTGTCACACCAGGAGAAGTGGTCACAGATGATCCGCAATGGATGAGGTTGGTGGAACCTTGAGGACCGCGCAAAAACAAACAAAAAACGCGGGGCTCATATCGTCTTTTTTTTTCTCTCCAATATTAACTAACAATCTATAGAGGTCACGGCACCTACATGAACCCGCTCTCGACATCTATCATTGCCACCGTTGCTGGTACAGTTCAAAAGACAAATAAGCTACTCTCTGTTCACCCTCTGCGCGCCCGCTATACCCCCGAGATTGGAGACCTCGTCGTTGGCCGCATTGTTGAAGTGCAATCACGACGTTGGAAGGTCGATGTCGCCGCACCGCTACTTGCCCAGCTCCCTCTTTCCGCGATCAACCTGCCTGGTGGTATTCTGCGTCGACGAACAAGCGCCGACGAGCTCCAGATCCGAACATTTTTCAGCGAAGGCGATCTGGTAGTTGCTGAAGTGCAGAGCGTGCACCAGGATGGGTCAGCGTCACTACACACACGGTCTTTGAAGTACGGGAAACTGCGCAACGGTGTGTTCCTTGCCGTTACAGGAACCGGCGGCAGTGGAGCGTCCAGCTCTAGCGTTAAGGGTGGTATCGGGGCTGGGAAGTCGGCTTCGGGCAGCGCGTTGGCTGCTCCTGGAGGTTCTGGCACTGGTGGTGTGGTACGGTCTCGTCGACAGGTGTGGACGGTTCCCACTGGCAATGGTGGTGGTGAGGTGAATATTATCCTCGGAGTGAATGGGTACATCTTTATCTCCAAGCATGCCGAAGGGGAAGATGCCGCATCCTCAACTACGGAGAATGTCTCCATTACGCGCATGGAAGAGATGGTGTCGAGTTCAATCTACTCTAGCCAGAACGACGATATCTCACCACAGACCCGTCGGGAGATCGCCCGGTTGGCACAGTGTATTCGAGTTTTGGTACAGAGTGGAGTGCGCGTGGATGAAGAGACGGTTATGGGTGCCTACAATGCTAGTCTGCAGGTGGATTTGGAGATTGGGGACGATGAAGACGAAGAAGATGAATGGCGACAGGAAGGTCGTGAGTATTTGGAGGGCGCCAAGGCCCAACAGATCCTCGAGTTAGTGAAGCAGCAGCTGTAATAGGCTCTAACCGCTCGGATGTATGATAATGATACCCCTCAAAAGATTACAGGGAACACTTAGCAGGCGTAATGTCAAAGTCCATGTTCATACCACGGCCTGAGATTCCAGATTCCAGATCCCAGATGTCACTATATCAAGCTGTCTACTCTAGGTAGATGGAAGAATCTAGTCCATACCTAGGTAGGTCTTGTAGGATACTGATGTGTCATCGCTTTGACAACCTTGGAAGTGGAAACCTCTGCCGTAAGTGGACCAATAGGCCAATATAAGCCAATTATGAGATCCCGTGGGAGCAGATCTACCCAATCTAGCCAACCAGGTAGCTGTATTTGTAAGAAACGTATGACTTGATGTGACTTGGACATGGACTGTGTGTGAACAATGACGATGAGTGCCCCTCGAAGAGGAAATGGTTAAGACATAGGCCATAGTGCAATAGAACAATAGCCACAATAACCACAATAGCCACGATAGGCAATCAACATCTGATTGGAAATTCCGACAATAGCCTAGAACAATACCTTCAGAACTACTATGTAGTTATGTAGTTATGTATAGGCGATAGGCGATTGGATGAACAAAATGTAAAACCCCCGGGGCCATCTGATAGGCTTACATACGCAGTCACGAGTCAAGTCAACTTAAGATTTCTATTGTTACTTTTGTTCACTTCTCTTCTCTTTCTTCTTTTTCTTCTTATTATACTCGAAATTCCTTTTGAGAACATGCCCAATCACTTACTTCTTTCTCTTCTAATTCTCGACTATTGTCCAGTACCCATAGGTTAAAACCCTTTTTCTTGGCTTCATCCTTTCTACTTAACTCCCGTACTGGGTTCCCCAGTCTACTTCATCTTTTTTTCAAAGAACTTTCTTCCCCATCATCTCATAGTCAAGATGCCCGATCTACGTCGCCAGATCTTCGAGAGTGGCAAGACTGTCTCGCGCAAGGCAGCATCTCGTGAAGCATCCCGCACCAACTCCCCCGCCAGTTCGAAGCAAACCTCGCGCCAGGGCTCCCGCAATGCCAGCAGAGCTCCTTCAGACGAAGAAGACTCGGGTTTCCTCTCTGATGAGACATCTATGAGGTAAGCACATATAACCCCTTGCATCCTTTGGTCTTTTTTGTGTTTGTCTTTTTCTTTTTCTTTTTCTTTTTCTTTTTCTTTTTTTTTGGTATCTTCAGATGGTCCCCACTCCCGTGGCGGGATGATGTCACCAATGATGTCGGCAAGTTTTACAATCAAGGCACTAACCAAATTGGGATAGCATCGGCAGTATCGGATCTCTTGACGATGAGCACCCCGAACAAGATAATCCCGATTGGGAACAAGAGCTCGGCGATCGTATTCAAGAGATTCTCGATCGCAAGCGCAGCAGTGTCCAAGGCCGTGAAGAGGCCCTGCAAGCATTCTGTCGCCTAACCAAATACCACTACACAGTGGAAGAAATTCACGGCGCTATTCCAGACCTACTGGCCGCATTTGAGCGAAGTGTCCGCACCGAAGTCAGTGTCCGTGAAGCAACCCTTGGCTTGCGCGCTATTGAGTTGCTTGTCATCTCAGCTTTTGACAACACCGTTTACGAAAACACCGAGCCCTTGCTCACCCGCACCATCCGTGACTCCGCCTCCCCTCTTGTCAAGACAGCCGCTATTCACTGTTTAGGGGCATGCACCATCTTCGGAGGTGCTGGTGAAGATGGCATGCTTGAACAGATGGGTTTCCTCCTGGACATCATTGCCTCTGACGGGCAATCCATCGATGCCACAGATGACCCCACCATTGTGACCGCCGCGCTCCAGCAATGGGGATTCCTCGTCACTGAGGTCGACGACTTTGAAGAAGAAAGCGAAGAAGCAATCCAGATATTCATGGACCAACTTGATAGTTCGGATTCCAACGTGCAAATCGCAGCAGGTGAGAATATCGCCCTACTCTATGAGAAGAGCTACAGTCCCCAAGAGGACGACGAAGACGAGGAGAGCGCACAGTCAAACGACGACAGCGACGAGCTCGAGCATGAGCACGAGCACGATTCCACATCCGGTCCCAAGCTTGTAAAACGATACAACGCCTACCACAACACTCCCGAACTGGAGAGCCAACTTCAGAAACTGGCCACCATCCATGGCAAGCAGATCAGCAAGCGCGACAAGAAGTCACTCCACAGCAACTTCGCCTCGATCCTCACCACTGTCGAGAACCCACGTCGCGGTCCTCGCTACAACACCGCCATCGACCAAAACACCAACCGCCACTACGGCAGCACTCTCACCGTCAAGATTGGCCGCCACGGACTCATGACTATCGACCGCTGGTGGAAGTGGGTACGACTCAATGCTTTGCGCCGCATCCTGCAGGGTGGCTTTTCCGAGCACTACTTCCAGGGTAACCGCTCCGTCCTCGACAGTCTTCCTGTCATGATGCGCATGGCAGATCAGGGTCACGGCTCGGCGGATCGCCATAGTGCACGCAAGGCAGCCAAGATGCGCAACTCGCGTCGCTGGACTACTTACCAATCCGATGATGAGGATGAGTAAATGAGTACCTCTTATTCATCATTCGATTGCTAAGTCATCACCGATGTCAGCACATAAGGAGAAATCAGACACTGTTCAGTTGCTCAATCTTCGACATGGGATACGACGACAGCTTAGGGTTTTACGCCACATGAAGGATTTCAGCTTCTTTTCTTTGGTATTTCTCTGTTTTTCTGCTTTCGTGTGTTTTTAATTCATTTGTCTCTATCCATTTGACTTATTTTTCATCCAACTTTGTACCTAACGAAATGATACTGCCCATTGAGCATTCAATCAACTGTTTACATGAACAATAGTCCAAAGGGAAAAGTCTGTATTTATCTTTATATAGAGTGAAGAAGGTCCTGCCCAAAACATCTCGCCCACAGAGCTAAGCCCCATCTCTCCAGTATGATCTTGGTGCATGTCCAATAGAATATAACCAGTAGAATAACCCCCCAAAAAGGGTTAACCAACATCAACCATCCAGCCCAACCCTCTAATCCTCAAACACAGGCACAACATTAGACCAGCTCCCCTTAGCCCTCTCCTCCCAATATCCATCCTTCCCACCCTTAAGTCGCCAAGCAACCTCCCCATCAGAGTCATCACTAACCCGCGTAAACCAGCGCGGAGTCCAACTCTCCCCAGCATTTTCCATCTCGCGCCTGCGCGCACGCTG